CTTCAGTGTGCATTCAGATTCTTCACAATGAGAACTAAATTTACAGAGAGGCTTCCCTATGATTTCTACTTTGGCATACAAAGCTTTTTCACTCTGAGTTGTATATAGAGGATGGATTGTAAATGCACAAATCCAGCTGTGCTCCATTTTTATAAGGCATGTAAGAGTTTGGGTTTACATAAATTATTAAAACAAATCTGTGTGAAAAACCTGCACTGTCAAGTGAACTGCACATACAAGCAGAAATCATGTTTTGAATACATGGGTCCTTTAAAAAGCCACCTTTAAAAAATAAATTCTTTTCAATTTGCCACTAATTCGAAGAGCATATATATTTTATATGCTCTCCAGCTATAATCTGGAGAGTTTAATGCCAAAATTAATCTCTCACAGTGAGACCTGGACAGGCTGGAGAGCTGGGCAGAGAGGAACCTGATGAACTTGAATAAAAGCAAGTGTGGGGTGCTACACCTGGGGAGAAATAACCCCATGCACCAGTACAGGTTGGGGGCTGACTTGCTGGAGAGCAGCTCTGAGGAGAAAGACCTAGGAGTCCTGGTGGACAACAGGATGACCATGAGCCAGCAATGTGCCCTTGCGGCCAAGAAGGCAAATGGCATCCTGGGGTGCATCAAGAAGAGTGTGACCAGCAGGTTGAGAGAGGTTATCCTGCCCCTCTACTCTGCCCTGGTGAGACCCCATCTGGAGTAGTGTGTGCAGTTCTGGGCTCCCCAGTTCAAGAAGGTCAGGGAACTGCTGGAGAGGGTACAACAAAGGGCCACAAAGATGATTAGGGGCCTGGAGCATCTCCCTTACAAGGAGAGGCTGAGGGACTTGGGTCTTTTTAGTTTAGAGAAGAGAAATCAGAGGGGGGATCTGATCCATGCTTATAAATACTTAAAGGGTGGGTGTCAGGAGGATGGGGTCAGTCTTTTTTCAGTAACAGGACAAGAGGAGATCGGCACAAACTTGAATATAAGAAGTTCCACCTAAACATGAGGAGAAACTTCTTTCCTTTGAGGGTGGCAGAGCACTGGAACAGGCTGCCCAGAGAGGTGGTGGAGTCTCCTTCTCTGGAGACATTCCAAACCTGCCTGGACAAGTTCCTGTGCAACCTGCTCTAGGTGGACCTGGTTTGGCAGGGGGGTTGGACTAGATGATCTCCAGAGGTCCCTTCCAACCCCATGTGATTCTGTGATTCTGTGAAATAACTTGCAGTCTGCCTTTTCTACCTCCAGATTTCTAGCAGTTAATGAACGGGTTTTGTCTTGAAAACATCCCCTTTTCCTTTAATACCTTATCAAATGTAATCTTCCAAATTCCCTACATGAAGTAGCACCACTTCCCAAAGGCAGAGCCAGGATGCTTAGGGCCGTATCAGCCTGTCATTTCCACACAGTCTTGCACAGAGATTGGTGAGGGAGAGATAGGCAGCAGGGAATGGAACAGGGAAACCCTACCAGTCCAGAACACACATATGTTTATCACTTCAGTGATGCAGAATGATTCTTGGAAACAACAAAAAGATGCATTTGGAAAAAATAAAAAAATCCTCTACTCACTATCTTCTATAGAATGGTTTAACAACAAACCATTTCTCTCTACTCTGCTGAGTAAAGCACCCTATTTCCATTTCCATTATGAGGAAATAATTTAAATACTGTGGTGGAAAATCTTTTCTATATCCTATTTATCAACCAAAGACTTGAAATCAACTTGGTTTGGTTTTTATGTTCTTTATTGAAAAGAAAGCCTCAGCAAATCTTGTATCTGTTACCATTATTGATCTAAATTCTGCTTTTTATATCCTCTGTAAAAATAAGCTAATTGAAGAAACCATTTTTATTTTAAAGAAACCATTAGTGCTGAAATCTGTTAAATCATAAGAAGAATGTAGTTTACTTTTATTTGCATTTTTATATCTTTACAGACACTATGGCTATGCCAGATTTAATAGCAAAAGGGGAAAATGTTATTGTGAAAGATGTGATCTGGAACATTACTAACCCATGCCTTAGTAATGTTTGGTTGAGGCAATGAGAAGACTTAAAATAATGGAGCAAAAGTAGGAGTGCTATGGGATAGCTGGCTAATTTTCTCACAACCGTATTTTTTATTACCCTAACAATTACTTTGTAAGCAAAAAGTTTAAATAACCATGTTAATTGCATTGATTAGTGCTTGCTACAGCATTTCCCACTAATGATCAGATCTGTCCTAGGCTGTCTCACCGATGCTTTGCAGACAGCTCTGCTCACAAGAAGGCGTTTCATACCATTGAAATGCTACTTGTCAGAACAGAGCTCTGTTGCCTTTCTACCAATAACTTCCCCTATTCTACAGGGAGGTCCGTGTGAGCTATGTCTGCAGCTAAGGCCACCCCTTGAGGTAATGTTTGAAGGAATCAGGGACGGGTTTAAACCTCGATCAGAATCAGTCAAGGTTGCATTTGCTTTCTGGTGGACCAGAAAGTCCACAAAAATGAGTTATTTGGATTATATACATTTAGGCTGGGGAGAATCTGATGATTTGAAATGCTCCATTACATCCCTGGACAAAGACATAAAATGACCCTAGCTGGCTGTCAGAGATTCCCCTGCCCTGCAGAGAGCAGTGACAAACGTTTCCATGTGGGGCACAGTAAAGCAAGTGGTGACACCATCCTCTGAGCTCAGCTGTCAGCCACAACAGCATCTCGTGACACAATTTATGCACTGCGTTCAGTAGATTTAACAAAAAACACTTCAGTATCATGATGGTACCTTTGGTAATAAACCTAAAGGCTATGAGGCATTTGCAGCTAGCCTGATGGTTGAGTCCACCCTCATGTCATGTTTTCTTATTATAGTCTTTTTTTGCACAAAGTATTCACTTGATTCAAGGTGAATTAAGATGACCCCTCTGAGCTGTGGGCACCTGATGTGTGAGGCAGTGTTTTACCACAGCCTCACACATGGTAACATCATGATTTCTGGAGGGAAAGTAACTTGGCTACAAAGGATTTCAAGGATGCATAAAGGTTAGGTTTACTCAGCTCTTCTATGTCATTTCACTGGATAGCAAAGAACCATCTTGGATTAAATGCTACAGTCAATACATTTTTAAACCGATTGAAATGTCCAGTGAGTGAAAACAAAAAAGCTTGCCTAGGCTGAAAATAAGCCCTCTGCTCCTTTCCCCACTGTATTGCACACTAGTCCTTGCTGAATTGCCTTTTAGATATTTCCACATCTTTTGTTCTTCACCACCATCTCTACTTTATTTCCCCCCATCTGCGCATCATGCCTCATTCATCACTGGCTGCATTTGCATTCATTCAGCAAGAGGTCAAGCCCTTAGTCTACTCCTTGGGACAGAAAGGTTTGTCTTTGTTTGGGTAGGAGATACATGCACACGTTTTTTCTTCAAAGAGAAAATAAGTAGACAACAGAACCCTTAAAAGAGTGCTTAATTTAGATGACAACTCCTGAATAATTTGGGCTTTAAGTAAAAAAAAAAGTATGATAAACCTGAAATATATTTTCAAAACATGTTAATATGATTATGAGGGGTTTTTCCTATCATTGTGGTGGATCTAAATGTAATTCACATATGACCCTTGAGAGAAGAGGTTGTCACCTACTGTGTGGCTATTCACCAGGCTGCCCAGTAAAGCCCAGAGCACCCATTTAAATATCATTGTAAGAGATCAGTTGGTTTCAGAAGCAAGAGGAACTGAGCTGAACAGTAATCTGCAAGGACCAAATTATGGTCCAAGCAGTGGAGGAGAGCTCTGAGGGGCAAACGACATTCTTCATGCTGCTATGCATGTTTCCTGGTGCCTATAGGGTGTCTACCACTTTTTAGTTTGTTCTTGGTAAGATAGTCTTGCAGATTTTCATGTTTCCGTAACATAAAGTGTAAGACATTTTTTTTTAAATATTGTTGTGTATTACAGAACTTTGGGGGTAGTTTTACATAATATTGCTCAGACTGTAAAAATGACTGCAAGCGTAACATTTTGGACTGAGTCCTGCTTCAGTGCTAAAGGAGAGTAAGGTACTTAAGAAGTTTATATATAAATATTGGCCTTAGAAATCTCTGCCCTTAAAAGGACTTCTCCAGTGCCAGGGGAGGCTGTTTATTTCCTTCTAGGCATATACAGCCTCTAAACCTCTGAAGACTTGGTGCCAACTCTAGATAGTTCCTTTCTTGCACAAAACCCAGCAGCAAAGAGGAGATAATGGTGGTTAGAGATTTCACCTCAGGAAATGGAGTTTCATCTCATCTGTGAAATATACAGAATTCAGTCTTAACTCCAGACAAGTTGGAGGGATTTGGGCCTCGGTATCCCATGTCCCAGTGCTAATTGTTCTCTTACCATGAACCATGAGAACCATGGGTAGAAAGAAAACCTGACCAGCCTGTATTTCCAGTAGGGCCCAATGCTGCAGTTGCTCCAGTACAACCATCACTAAAGAAAGCCTTGTTTATAACTCGTCTCCTTGGATGTGGCTTGTTGCATGCATGGAAAGTAGAAGACATTTATGCTATTGGGCAATGTCCCTACCTGAGCCCGTGGGATGACTCTGTAGCATCTAATTGTAGTCTAAATTTGCACTTTTCTGAATTTTTCAGTTTGGCAACCAAATATTTTTAGTTGTTTGCTTGTGTAACTAATCCTTGGATTCTCCCTAGTCCAGCCCTATTTAAGATGGCAGAAAAGAACCAACAGAAGCTAATCAGTAATGTTGGAGGCTAAAGCCCACATTTAGCAGATAAACAGAAGTCTGTGAGGACCACACTGGAGGGACAGTTGAGGTACTGAAATGTTTTAATCAGTGTCTAGGGGCCAGATCTACAAATATCCATTTTCACAAACCTCTAATATTACCAGTGAGTCACATTTTCTGTGTGTGCATGACTGGACAGTGTAGCTCAGACACAGAAGGAGATGGACTCCTCCTTCAGTTGTTGGACCCACTGTGAATGAGTTATGTGAGTAAAATGTATGTGCTTACCAGATCTGCTCCAGGGCAATAGGCAGTCACCACTGGATCCTGCCCAAGCAGTAAATCCAGTTTTCTGAAACTGGCAGTCTGGATTGCAGATGTGCAGTGAAGGAGTCCAGGATGACAGCGTGGGCTGCTGTATATCTACAAAGTCCAGAAAAATATAACAAATTATACATGTAGACAAAATTGCCAGGTGGGAAAAAAGAGAAGAGAGGAGAGGAGAGGAGAGGAGAGGAGAGGAGATGAAATGAATGAAAAAATGATCACGCAATAATGAAGACATTGATCATAAATTCTCAAAAAGAGGACCTGCCAAAATCTGAAGCATTCAAAAAGTGCAAATTAGACTTCAAAAATTCTGAGTTCAGGCATAAAATCCTGAAAATTTACAATAGCATTCAGATTTGGTTTTCTTCCTGCTGGGAGTCTGAGCTCATAGGCTGCATACAAGTCATGTTTCTTAATTGTTGTCTCTCACAACCTCAACCTGGTGTGAGCCAGAAATCTTTTTCATTGACAGACAATGTCCCTTTATCATCTGTCACTCAGTTCCAAGAATCAGAAATGAAGAAATGCATTAATAAACTCCAGATTAAGAGTTCTGGAAGTGCACCAGCAGACAACTGAGGATTCACGATCTTGGCTCCATGTGTGAAAGGGAAAATGGGGGAATAAGCTAGGAGGGTGTCAGGAGGCAGTTGGCTTTTGAACCTCCGTTTTGTGAGGTTGGGCAGGGCTCTCATTTATGGGTGTAGAATGCTTTATGTAGAGGACAGCAGTTTCAGTTTTTACCTGTGCCCTCGCCTCCTTTTTTTTCTCTGTGGCAGAGTCTGGGTACATCCCACATAATATTGCTCCACAGCAATTCAGTAGATCTAAATGTACATATGCAGCAATGGAAGTCTCAAAAAATGCTCCCATATTACCTAAAATTAATTTTTCTGTAATCTAGCATGAAAGAAGAGACTTTTTCTAAATTATCTTCACTTTTGATAAAACACCTCGTAGCTTTCAAAAAGGTACAGAATAATATAAAATTCACAGCCAATTCAAAATCAGAGAACATTAATAAATACCTGTTCTGAGACTTATTTCTCAGAACAGCTAAGAGAGCGACCTGGACATTCACACACAAGGAAACTCAAAAGATGGCAAGAGAGATTGGCAAATCATTGAAGAAGGAATGGATATGGGCAGATTAATCTTGAACTATCCACTTACAAATTTGAAACAATAACAGTTTGGGTCCTAGTTGTGTCTCATCCTTGTGGGGATCCAAGATCCACATTGACATGTTTCTGAAGGATGTAGTTTAATATTTTTTGCAGCTAAGTGTCACTGACTAATGAAAATATATTGGCACAATACTTGCAGGTTATTGTTCCATGTGGCTGTACTTCTTAGTTGGGAATTTGTAAGCAGGTCATGACTGAAAGCAATATGAATGCACTCAGCTATTCAAATATTCAAAATATATCATGCTATATTTATTGGAAACAAAGTCTGACAAGATTATGTGTATACTAGGAACTGATAATGAAACATTGCATTGCATTGGCACTGGCAGTGTCAGCAATAGAGAAATTACAAACTTTAAATATTTATATAATAAAATGAAATGCAGCTATTAATGCTTCCAAGAAGCATGCACTGCCGTGCTATAGATAGACATGAAGAATAGAGTTTTGGAATATCTCTAACAGGCCAATTTATCATTTTTACAGAATAACTCCATGTCTGTGGAAACAGTCTTATGGAAATTAGAAAAAGAGTGGTAAAGAAGCAACGAGGTCTGAACACAAAAAAATGGATCTTCCTGAGGACTTAAATACACAAAGGAAAAATGAATGTCATAAGTAATCCATTTTTTTCTGGATTGTTTATGTTGATTTAAATACAGTAAATACACATATTTCTTTAAAATGGTGTGGAAGCCAACAGTATTTATGGTCCTTCAAAAGATCATATACTTATTTTCTTTTCATCAGTTCAATTATTGGAAAAATTACCACTTCAATGTTTGGGTTTTTTTTGGTGTGAGAAGACTAAGTAATAAACAGAACAGCCCTTAAATATGGAGTTAATGGTGCTTATTCCCAGTTAGCTTTTTCTTGTCACTGCTAGAAGAAATCCTGAAGTCCTGTGTAGACCATGAAAAAGGAAACCTAGGAGAATTTAGGATCTGGGCCAGTTATGCCATTTCCTTTAGCAGCCTGATGGAGCAAAGCTTCCTGGTGCAGTCCCAACTTCCCCAAGCTATAATCTGAAGGACTACAGGAAGGCTGGGATTTCACTTCACTTATTCCCCAAATGGCATGAAACTATGTTGATTTCTGCCCTACTCTTTTCAACCTACTTTTTTCAACACCATAGTAATTTGAAGTCCTGAAAAGCTATGCATATTGATTTGGATTGTTTTCTGGTGTCTTGTCTGAGCTGCTGGTGTAAAACTATAGCATTTTTGGAAGACAGGAAGGGCTAAGGAGATGGTGTGGAGCACTGTGTTTCAGCTCCAGTTCTCTGCATTTATTTTTTTGTTTCTGTTGTTGTTATTGTAGTCATTTAGTGTAAGCTCCTTTGAACCACTTGGAAAGGTGAGGTGGGAAATGGTCTCCTCCCTTCTAAGTGAGACTGTGAGTGATGGCCACAGCAGTGTAAATAAGACTAACTGCTGACTGGGCCTGCCTTCCTCTTCTCTTGCCCTGCACAGGCTCATACCAGGAGAATATCCAGCTGAGATCTAACCCAACAAAATGAAGCAGTGCTCAGTCTGAGGCCAGAAGAGATCCCTGAACATCTCACCACCCAACTGAGTGAACTTCAGTGTCAGACAAGGAAGGAATTGAGTACCACTGTGGTACTTAGGTTTCATCAGCTTAAATTGCTGGGGAAGCACAAACTTGGTGCTCATACAGCAATGACAGAGGCTTTAGTGATTATTGCCTCCTTAGTTCAGTTTAAGCAGAAGCATCGATGTGGTAACCAGGATGACTATCAGAATCTAATCCATTGGTATGAACAATAGATGCAAAATACTATTTTCTCCCCTCCCATCATTGTATTTCTTCACTCTGAAAAAGCATTGATAAAAGAAGAGGACATGTTGTGCAAGTTTTTTTTCCTCAGCATATTCAATTTCATACATTTGGCAAAATGTATCTTTTCCATTGCAATTCATCATGATAGACATCAGATCATTTCTGAAAGTATGGAAGGATGAATCTAGCATGCTGCAAACAGGCAGTGCACCTCCATTTATGTGACATGGTCCTGAGGATGTCCAGGCCTGAGGCCTCCATGCTGGTAGAAGGGGAGGGCATAGCTTAATCTGTTGATTTTAAGCTGTTGTATGCTTAAAACTACAGTCATGGTTTCTGAGTGATGATCTATTAGAAACTGGATTAGAACAATGTTGTATGTCTCATGAACCATCAAAGAGCTGGTGGAACCTATGTATGAGCAGTCATCCTCAGATCTTCAAAGTTTTAGCTAGGCCTAGAAGGTTATTTGAAAGTGAAAGGACTTGTATTGAGCTTCACAACCTCTGAGCAGAATTTAATCTGTCATTAAATTCCTGTCCTTTATTCAACTATCAACTTCAATATTTGAAAAAAATACAGACCTTTTTTTCTACAGGCATGGAAAAGCTAATGGCTTATTTCCTGTGGCATTGTATGCAAAGAAACATGAGTTCAGGTTAATAGAACTGTATAGTGCCTAAATTGCATATTTTCTTCTCATCTTACAAATAATGTGTCAGCTTGCTTTGGTTTATCTTGGTAGATGATAGCCATTTACAATTCTGAGTGTGGATGCTCCTTAGAAGATGAAATACTTGTTCTGTGTTTCTGCCTCAAAGTTGCTGTGCAGCAAGTGAAATACCATAGGAGTAAAAAAACTGAAATAGTACTAGAAATACAGTTCTAGATAATTTGGCTGATTCCAAATCTTAGGCTTAACCATCCCTTTGCTTTCACATTTGAACCCAGTTTACGGACATTTTGTAGCCTGGGTCTGTCTCTACTGTTTGCTCTATTACAATCCAAGTGATCCACTTGATTAAACTGAGCACCAAGCAGAGAACTCTAAGGCATTCAGACGACTTTCTGGTCAGAAACCACCACTGTACTCAAAAAGTTGCAGTAATTGTTTCTTTTGCAGAAAAGAGCATAAGTCTCTTCCTCTAACCTTAGTAAATGGGAAAGCCCAAATGAAAAGGAAAAATACATTCATGTTATGCATATTCTTCATGTCGATGGAAAATACTGTGGTAGGACCGGTCATGATTACTTTGATGCCTTTTGTGAATTTTTAGCCAAATGTCTGTTCCATTTTAAGAAAAATCCTTCTTGATTGAATGTGCCCCATCAGGTTTGCCTGATCCTGGACTGGAGTTGGCTTTTTGCCATGATAGTGAAATACTAAATCACAATTTACAAGTAAATTGTAAAGTCTATAGTGACATCAATATATCATCTGATACCTATAAACATTTCCAGAGCTCAGGGAAACAGCTCTCTCCACTCTCAAATGTCTGAGTGTTTCAAATACAAACAAGAGTGTCAGCAACAGCATTTTAACCCTACCACCTAATGGTCAGCGGCAGGAGGAAGTGGAAGCGTATTTCACATCCCATGTTTCACATCACAGCAAAATCCAATACAAGCAATAGAGTATTCATGTATAGTTTGAGACTCACCATCACTCTGTCGAGAATTTAGAGTTTATTAAGTGGTGGTTCATTGCAAGAAAAGCTGTAGTATTCCATATCAGATGGTGTCTTTCTCCAGATTGTTTTTATGGTTTTGTCTTTGTTTTTGTTTTTCTGTGGGGAGATGCAAACAAACCCATGTTTAAATTGGATCAGGACATTTGCAAAGGAAAAAAAAATAGGATAAAAATAATCTTAAAACCTAGGCAATACTTATTCTGACAGCGTATTTCAAAATACCACTGCATACATGTATGTATAAAAGCAAATGATATTTACTTATCCTTTATTTGATGATGAAAATGAATAGATTGCTAACATGTTGTTCATAAATCAGAAAAAAATATAGCAATCAATATAAAGGCATAAGGAGAGTTTTATAGGACAATGTATTATACAGTGTCATAATTTTGACAGGCATAATGAACGTTGTTTTACTTTACTGCCCTGTGCCATCAATGAACACATCAAAAAAGGGGAAGGAATAAAAAATTTAGATTAATTTTCATTGCCCTTCAGATATTTTATAAATATATCTGTCTAATGAAACACATCTCACATTTCTCTTTACTGTTAAAGAACTGAGCTCACTCTCTCTCATTTTATAAGGATTAAAATTACCCTCAGTACCTGGTGTTGGTAGCCTTATTGTGGCATTACAATATTTAAAGCATCTGATGTCTATAATTTTATGTTGTACAGAAGGCAATCATTTTCTGTTCTGCTGAGCTTGTTTGGCAAAACACGATGCTTTAACTCAATTTTGATGCAGTCAATGGAGAGGAAGAAAACACACGTACAGCAATGCTTGTCTAAGGAGTTGAACAGATCTGCATGGTAATGACACTGAAGCTCTTCCTTGCCATAATGTGTACTGTGCTTTTCCTCAGGGAGTGATTTCAATTCCATACAGAGATTTTCTAAACCCTTGCTTACTAGGATGGTTGGCTTAAGCTTGCTTCCAGGATATGATTGTAACAACACTCTACGAACACAAAAATCCCCCAACTACAGAGTAATATTTTCTAGAGATCTTGACTGACTGTGGAACATTTTAAAATGGTTTAGACACTTTGAGCTAAATTTTTAATGGCATTTATGGAGCTCTGTGATGGCTCTTAGTCAAACTATTTGACAGCGACCTGCTGCGTTTGCTGTTTCAGCTCCCATTGCTTCTGCTTCTAACACAAACCTTTGCTTTCCCTAATCAGCACCTGCCAGGGGCAGTTTTCTTGGCCCTCATGTTCCAACCAGATTTAACAAAGCTGACAATGAGCTGTAAACATTTATATAACATCAGATTTCAAATCCATTATGAGCACAAGCTTTCTAACTGAGCTTTTTACCAATAGCCTTAGAGCTCTTCAGGGAAACTGTCTGAGCATCTCTTGGTGATGTCCCACCCTGCTCCCATTTGGCAGAGACATTTGGCTGTGGCTCCACAAATCAGACTCATCTAGATTCGTTTTCTGTGGGTTTTTTTGGTTTGGGGTTTTTTGTTTGGGTTATTTGTGTGTGTGTGTGTGTTTTTTTTTTAACATTTGACACCCATGGGGAGAATAATGGATTCCATCTCTTTATCCCCTTCCTTTTGGGAGCTGGAGGAAGTCTAACATTCCTCTTTCCTTGACACCCATTTGAAGTAGCAAACAAAGTGCCACAAGGAACCATTTTGGAATAGCATGGTGGTTTTAAAGCATGAATTACTATTAGAGGTACACGTTGCCTCATTTCTGTCTTTATTTTTTCTTAACAATGAGAGGTTTCAAAACAAACTGACGAATTCTGTGTCAGTCCTATAAATCCGTGATTCATCCTTCCTGGGTTTTCACCTATTTATTTTCCTCTAAGGTATCCAGCATGAGATCATCTTTGGTGCTGTACAAATGCAAGCACATCTTACTCCTGGTTATTTTGCAAAGGACCAGGGCAGAGACAGATAAAAAATTAGCAGCCCAGATCATGCTATGAATGACGCTTACATGTCAAATGTCTTCACCAGATCAATCACCTGTCTTGTATGTTTTGTACACGCAAGAGAACACAGGGACATCATCTAAATCTCTCAATTAATTTGTTGGCATATTTCTATTTATATGCTTATAATCTTCTGTCACTGAAGCTCATTAAAATTCAATAAGGGGCACTTCTTTCTACTTGATCATGTTATTTCTCTTCTTTCTATCAATAATATTCTATGAAGAGAGCTCTAAATGCAAGATTCATGTAAAAAGAAAGATGAATCAAACCTTTCAGTGCTAGCATCTTTATTTTGCTCCTGTTAAAAGGTAATTTTTGTTCTTTTCTCTTCTTGAAACCTCAGAACAGCTTTCACTAGAACTTCCTTACAATTCGGAAATTAGTTATGATCTGTTGTACTGCTTCAGTTAAAATAATTTCTGCCTACTGAATTAGCTGGAGGCTGGGTGCGGAAAGAACACTGCAGATATGCAGGCAGACACTTCTATTAGATAATATTTTCATTTATAGAGTTTACATTTTCATCACAGTTGTTGGTTAATGAATCATTTGGAAACCAGACATACTTTACTTGAATCAATACTATTGTTGTAAATATCCACCTACTAATTCAGCCAGTAATTTTCAGTGGATGCATTGTTCATGACTGATTTGCTTTGCATGCTGAGGCTAGTTATCTATGTTAAATGCAATCGCTTCCTTTTCATAAGTCAAAGATCGAAATGTTTTAAACACACCAGTAAAGAATAATGAACTTCAGGTATCAGATTTGAATCAATACCTGCAATTTGGTAAATTAGACAACTGAGACATACTTACTAGCCCATGACAGTGGTACAAATACTTGTGATTAATCAATATTTAAAGCCTTTTGAGTCAGAGAGAGCTGGGGTCTTATTCATGAGGATATACACACATTGGTTCTTTCATCATTTACCAGGTTTAAACTATAAAGTTATGGTAAAGGAACAAAATAGTTTTTCGCAGGACCTCTGTCTTATTCAGTGGATTAAAATACACTGGGCTCACGTAGGCATAGTTATTCAGCATTTTACTTTCCCTTTATTGTTCAGCATATATTCCACACCTAGTCTATTGCACACAGTACAGTCTTTCTTTCAAGACAGATTTATTCATGTCCTGACAACTTTTCTATGGCCTTGATACCTAGTTTTGTGGCCCCATATGTGTTTCCTTAGGCCCTTAACTCTTTCATATGGAAGATTTTGATATATGTGGACCCAGAATAGCAAGACATACAAAGAATCCTGTAGAACTGACTTCTCCTTATAATTATTTCCCTATCCATTAATGTTTGTGCCATCTGAAAACAGCACCAGCAATGATTCATATTTTCTTCTGTGTCATAGATGAGAATATTAAACAGCACTGAGCCAAAAACAGATATCTGGGAGATTTAACTGATAACAATCCTTTCAGCTGGTTATTTTTTTCTGTTAATCCTGTAATTTGAGATGTATCATTCAGCGAGTTTACAATCCATTTATGAAGGGTTACATTATATTTCATATAATGCTATTATATTAAGCAAATAATATTAGGTCAAATGTTTTTAGAAATCTGCTGATATTTATCCTTTCTACCAGTTAAGGTCTCTGTCTGACAGAGAGCTTTTGGAAAAACGTTGCCTTTGAAAACCAAATTATCAGCTACAATTTTTATTGAGATTCTTGTCAAAGTAATGACGTAATCATAATTGAAATACACTCAAAAGAAAATTTAAAGTGTAAGAAGCATGAAAATGAGTTCAAACACTATTTAAGTAGTAAGTTTATTTTTCTTCATCCCCCCAAAAAGTTATTTTCTAGAGCTCTTTTCCCAGAAAAGTATATATTTTATGTTCTTTCTGCAACCAGGTAAAAAGGAGGATTTATGATAAATTTCGAGAAATTTTATGAAAAAACCAAAATACTCATGACAAAACTGGGAATTGTGCCACCAAAGGTCAAACAAGAAGAGACGATTGATCTACTCAATTATGTGTTAATAGACCTGTTCAACAAAGTCCTTTGCAAGTGTCCTTTCAGTATTATTTGTTGCTGGGTCTCACCTAGTTTATCAAGAACTGGCACAGATAAAGGAAGAGATTTGCAGTCTCCTAAGATATTCTGAGATGCCATTTGCTTCTTTTTTCTGACTTGAATATATGCAGTACACCTTGAGTGATTTCTGTCTGGAACTGCGTATCAAGGTCAACGTTGCTTGAATATCAACTCTGGGTTGCTTAAGATCCCCAAGATTGAGGTGCCTTGAAAAGGAAAGTCTGTACCATATTACAGAAATGGTGCCTGTCTGCCTGCTCCTGAGACCTCAGCTCTTATCCTTATCTTCCTCTCTCCCACACCAAGGAAAACCCTACCATTCCAACATTTGAAAGTGTGTCCATGCCAGCCTCCTTGGAAAGTCACATAGAGAAAAGGGAGCCACAGCAGCAGACTTTTGGTTTATGGGACATGGAAGGGGAGGCCTGGAGAAGTGATTACTTTCTCTGCACTGGTTTATGTGCCTGCTATATCCTGATGGCACTTTTGCTGCTTCAGTGACATCACTGACTGTAATGGGAACACAACAACAATGATGATACCCTCTTCAGTCTGGTTGGTAGTGGCTAAATCCAATTCTATTTAATTTGAAGATTTTATCTGAGGTTTTACTTTCTATCTGGAGACTCAAGGAACAAAAAATGGCTTACCATTAATTATGAATATCTGTGAGAAACAGAAATCCAATGACAAATTGTGCTGGCAAACCCGCCCTGATGCATAGTACACATAGGTCATGCTTGTTTTGTTCCCACAGAGTGATTTGTCTGTCATACTGCTATCAGCTTCTTTTATGATCACTTTTGGTTTTATATTATTTTCGATTAGCTCATGTTTTAGATCATTAGTTCAACAAATAACCTGTAGCCCAGTGATAGATAATCTGTGTTGAGTGAGCATCATTCAACCAAGTCCTGACAATTCTCACTGATTTAGTTTCTAATACTCATTTAAAACACTTTAAAGAAGAAGTTAAATGAACATGAAAATTGTTCTGTTTCATATTTTGTATATTCATCATCTATTAGACAACCACTC